TCATCTGTCTATTTTTTTAATCCTCAACCTAGGACATACTTAGAGAGAGGAAGGGAGAAAGAGAGAGAAAGAAACATCTATGTGAGAGAGAAACATTGACTGGTTGTTTTCTGTACATGCCCTGCCTGGGAATTGAACCTGCAACCTGGGTATGTTCTCTGACCAGGAATCCAACTGGCAACCTTTTGGTGCACAGGACAATGCTCAACCAAGTGTGCCTCTCTGGCTGGGCTATCATCTGTCTATCTTAGTTGAAGAAACCAGGTTTTTGGTCTTGTAGAAATTTCCACAGTCTGGAGTTAGATGATTGTTTTCCACCTCCCTACCCCAATTCCTGCCATGTGTTCTTTGGCACCTTAAGTTGGTGGTTAGATGTAGAAGCTTGATCTGATTCAGTTATTTACCCCCTCTCTTTGGCAAGATTACTTCATAGTAGGGTTGTGTTACCTCCCTTACTCCCTGGTTGTCTTTTTGTATGTGTGGTGTTAGGAGTTATTCATAGTCATTGCTTAAGATCTCTTAACTCTTTAGGAGGTTGATATTCTGATTCTTTCCTTCTTCATTTATTAGCTGTAATATTTTCATAAAGAGAAACTTCACCATTATCATCATTGTGGTTACTCTGAAGTTACAATATGTCTACCAAGGACAGGGGACATTCTTAATTTTTTAAACTAGTTTCAAAATAATGACTTTGTTCTCCATCATTCTCCTCTGGGGCTAATGAGTTTTTTGTCATTGTTTGTTTTATGAGTATCAGTATGAGCTCTTAGATTTAAGCATTTCTCATGTGCTTCAGTCCATTATAGTTATTTTTCTTCTGCCAAACTTTGGTCATCTTTGGCCTGTGGGAGTCTGTTCAGGTTGGGTCCTAAGTCTCTTGCATATACTCTGAGAGTCTTTGCTAGTTTCTGTGCTTTTTGGAGTGACAGGATGTTTCTGCCTCTTCTTTTACAGTTTTTTCCCAGCCCTGGAATCAGCCATTTCCCTAGGTAGCCCTGGTTCCTGTTAGTGAGGAAATGGTGTTTAGAGACTATAGTGTAGGCACTAGAGGTGCTCATTGCTGCTTGGTTGGTTAGTGTTTCTCAACTTTGATTGGATCAAGCTAGAATACATTTTTTTTTTTTTTAAAGGTAAACATGTTATGAGTGATTTTGGGGTTTTTATAGTCCAAATCATATTAAGGACACTCGTGTTTTTACCGAATCTCATTACTCTTACATCTTTTTAAATTTATTTTATTTTATTTTTTAATTCTCACCCGAGACATTTTTCCATTTTTTGTTCAGGAGGGAGAGAGAGGAACAGAGAGAGAGAGAAACATCAACGTGAAAGGGACACATCGAGTGGCTGCCACCCACACAACCAACCAGGGCTGGGGACAAACTGCAACCGAGGTACGCGCCCTTAGCGGGAACCGAACCCGGGTCTCTCGGGACCGCAAGCCGATGCTCTAACTGCTGAGCCAAACCGGCCAGGGCTACATCTTTATCTCTTCCGTTAGCATCTCTTTTCTCCCATCATCTATTCTTTCTCCTGTGCCTAATCCCAGTTCTCACTGAAAACAGCACGGCTGTTAGTCTTGCTCCTTTCTATTGCCTCTGTCCTTTTAGAGGTAACTTTAAAAACAAAATGTGATTCAATTTGTTATTTTGTAAATATACTTAATTTTTTATCTGTGCAGAATGGACAGTCTTAGTTTCATCTTGGAATGTCAGGATTTTTTTTTTTTGAAGTGCGGTATGTGGCACATAACCTGATTAAATAAATCCCTCCTGTTACTTGTAAGATGTCATAATGGTGCAGGACAGGACAGCAGATGTTTCCATGGGGTTAGTTACCGAACTAGAGAATCTTCCAGGGAGAAGGGATTTCAGGCTTCATCCCTAATTAGTTGACCCTAAACCAGCCCCTGGAGGCTGGGCCTCAGGCATCAGAGCGCTCTGAACACCTTCCAAGTAAGGCTAACGTGCAGCGAGGGTGAAGATCATTGATTAAGAGGACTTAATGTATATCTAGAATCTCAATGGTATTTCCCCAGACTCACTGTTTTTCCTCCTTATCTCTGGTCTTTCTCAACTCTGCCTTTGCCACCTGTTTTGGAAATTAACTGCCTATACATTTTTTCCATACAAGCCCAGTTTTTTCTGCTTATGTGTTTCACTCAAGCATTTTTGCTGTCTGATAGCTTGTTTCTGTTTCCTGTGTTTTATTTATTTTTCTCATGAATCACTTGTGGTAGAGTCAGGCAGGAAACATAGTAAACGGGGGAAACATGGTGGAGGAGCTGTGCCCGCAGGGTAAGTTTTAGTATCCAGCCCTGTAATACGTTAGCCTGAGAAGCAAGGGATGGGGCTCACATGTCAGGTGCCTTAAGGAGGCTGGATGCCAAATATTCCATTAAGAAATATCTGCCTCATAGTCTCAGAGACTCTGGTAGAACCTTGAACCATAGGGTGTTGTGGTATCATATTGGGCTCCTTTAAGAATCCCTTAATGGTTTCACAGTTGAGAATTCTTATGAAGGAATAAGGACTATATTCTAGTTGGTTTGTGGGAAGAATCTTCACTAGGTCATAGATCTTTGCTATCCTGAGAGTTAACTTTCTCCCAGTTTTATTGAGAAATAATTGTTATACATCACTGTATAAGCTTAAGACATACAGCACAAAGGTTAGATTTACATATATTGTGAAATGATTACATAGTAAGACCAGCTACCATCCATCTTCTAATATAGATACAATAAAAAGAAAAGAAAAAAAACACCCTTGTGATGAGAACTCTTAGGATTTAGTCTCTTAAGAACTCTCCTGTCTATCATGCAGCAGCATTAGCTGTAATCATCCAAAGGGTTTTAATTTGGTTACTTTCAAGTTTGATAATGCATATTTTCCCAGTTGTTTTATTTCTTACTGGTTGAGGATTAAGAACAAGAGTGGACAGATAAATGGGAAGGTATGGGCCATGACCTGCATTACTCATTTGTGAGCTTATTTGCTTGACTGTGTTGCTAAATACTGTCTCTTAGCAGAAGAGTCCAGGTGCTTAGGCGGTAACTTTTTGTTCTGGGTTTGTTGCATCTATCAGTATTCTCTCTGATGGGTGACAGCACTCTGACACTCTCTTGTGATTATACCCATGCCAAGCTTAAATGGGAGCTGAGTAACAGGCAACATTGACTTCCAGATACAGTCTTAAGTTTTATGGAAGTTTGGAATGGCAGGTGTTACCTCTGGGCTTCTGGTGGATAGCCCCAGGATTGGGCTGCCCTTGGCTATACCTGGGTTGGGACTGCCCATGTGTACAGTTGGACATTGTTGCTTTTCTTCATAAGACTCCAGCTTTTCATCTCAGTAAACTCTTATTAAAGTCTGTTTTACGACCCCCTGCTTTAGGGTTCTTCTGTAAATTATTAATGACTCTTGGGGTGAATGAAAGAGTATGCTGGATAATGTAACCGTGAGTCTTTGTGTTCTTGAGATCTGATCATTGTACTCATAATTCTTCAACTAAACAATGTTCCCTTACCTTATAATAGACGAAAACTTCCGTGACCTCCTGGAAGGTGGTGCCCGTGAACGTGTTATATATGCGTGTGCAGGACAGGGTGTAGTTGGGTTTTAATGTCACACCCATTTGAGGGACAAGGACATCTTTCTGTAAATGTCCTGACTGATAGGGCACTACTCATTGGTTGAGAAAAAAAAATGCTTTTGTTTTGTGTTTAATTCTTTGGATTCTTCCTTCCTTTCGTGCATATGGTCCTCACTTGAGACAGATAGGAAAGAGCTAGCAGAAGCAACCCTTCCCGTTCTTTCTCTGTCTCTGTTAATAAGGAGGGATTGTTTGAAAGGAAATGCTGTTTCAAAGTCGAGTTTTTGAAAGATTTCCAAACTTTTGGCATTTTGTCCTTTGAGAAGTCTGTGGAGGAAATGATATCAAGGGCCTATGTGTTTATTTTTGGTGACTTGGATTTGCACCGAGTGTTTGGATTTCTTTGATGGGGAGAAGTGTACCTTACATGAGAGGAAGTAGTTTGTGGGATGGAGTGGCCATTTGTCAGGGAGGGGCAAGATTTGCTGTTTCTTTGCCTTGAGTCTTGGGGAAGAAAAGTATTTTCCCTAAATCTTATCTGGGAGGTAAACCCAATGACTCCCAACTCATTGGTGTAGGATTTTAATTTTTGCCTTGGAGAGTAGATGGTTGTTAATATTTTTCAAAACCGGTTCCTGCAATGTGAGGCTGATGGAGTTATTGTTTAGCTTGGCTTCCGCCATGCTTGATTCTCAACTCCAAGGAGGCAGTACTTCTGGGCACATCCCAGTTTCTGGGGGAAAGAGACCTATTAAAGTAACACCCCATGGGGCTGATAGCCTGGGAACCTCCCAAGCCTGCTTCTTTGATACTTGAATAAAATTTCCTTTTAATATTCCAACAGCAGCTGGATTTCATTCTCTTGATCCACTGGTATGTTGAATTTGGGTTGGGAAAGATGGGAAGGTTTTCTCTTCTGATCTGTGTTTGTGCCAGTGTCACAATTCATAAATGCTCTTGAAGCAGGAGCTGGCAAGAGTGTGCCTCCTGTAGATGAACCAGGCTCCACTTTGGCCTGGGACATTGAGAGTACAGAGGAAACAGGCTGTCCATATGTGAGCAAATTCCTGACCTTCTTTTGTCACTCTATTCCTTATTCACCTTGGGCCAGGACTTACTTGACATGTGGCCCAGTGCATTCGAAAGCACTGGTTCTAATATTTATTGAGCATCTACAGTGTACTAGGCACAATGTACCAAAGCTTTATTGGCTTTGAACTTAAAATTTTGGTTTAAGTTTGAAACTACTGTTTTTCCTAAAGATGAAAGTAATTATATTTTTCTTTTAGATTAGTGATGGAGGTAGCTTTTTTTTATATGTTAATAATTAAAGTAGAGCTTTGTTGAGAAAAACTGGTATGGCTTGTGTTTCTAATTAAGGCTTTTTCCCCCCTCCCTTTTAGGAAGGCGCCAGAGCAATCCAGCCCTTATTTTTGGGGAAAATTATTAATTATTTTGAAAACTATGATCCCACTGATTCTGTGGCTTTGCAAGAAGCCTACATCTATGCCACAGTGCTGACTACCTGCACACTCGTTTTGGCCATACTGCATCACCTATACTTTTATCATGTTCAGTGTGCTGGGATGAGGTTAAGAGTAGCCATGTGCCATATGATTTATCGGAAGGTAAGTGTCATTTGGTATCAAAATGTGCACCTCACCTAAAGCATCAGAAGCATTTTGGGAAAGTTCTACATAACCTAAAATTATTGTAAATGGAACCATTTAAACCTTACTTAGAGAAGTTTGATATTGCATCAGGCTATTTTTTAATTTAAAATACACTTTACCCATTATATAAAGAGTTTTCTATTGAGATCAAGTCAGGGCTGCCTTTGATAACATTTTGCCACAGGATGTTGCAAAACACTAAATTTGTAATGGAATCGAATAAAAAAACTATCAGATTGATCTCGTAGTTGTATTTATAGAAATTTTATTGTTGGTCATTAAAACCTTCATTTATATCAACGTTATATTTAAAGGTGACTGTCAGTGAAATTGGACCCATAAAATGAAATCTAGGTCAAAGATGTATTTGAGAAAAGGAATGATGATATATTTTTAAATGAACCATTTAATTATGTTCAATATAATTTCATTAACTAAAGAATAAATGTAAATGGAAGCCAAATATAGACTGACTATATTCTCTAGTTATAGTTGTTTTTAATAGTATTAAAGAAAATATTGGATGTTTGGGATAAAACTTTAAATTTTATGTTGTTTTTGGTAATTTTGGAGAGAGAGAATCTCCAAAATCTTATCTATTTTATGTTGCTTTGCATTCAAGTCATTATTATGTACAGGACTTTCTTCTCCTTCAGTGTCATGGTAATAGTTTTAGTGGTAAGACCCTATTGGACGTGTTCAGTGTTTCTGTGTTGAGAAGTGCCATGAAATTATCCCATTATTTACCCTGGTCTTAGCTTTTATAAAAGGAGTGGGGATTTCAGGTGTCTTTACAAAGGAGTTGCCACAGATACACCAGTATCAGGAGCTCAAGAGCTCTTGATCAACTTGATCCTGAAAAACGAAAAACAAACCCCAATTTAACAGGATTGTATATTTGAAATTTGCTAACAGAATGGATCTGTCTGTTCTCACAACCCCCACAGATAACTATATCAGGTGATGGATATGTTAATTAGTTTGACTGTAGTAATAATTTCCCAATGTATACGTGTATCAAAATATCATGTTGTATACCTTCAATGTACATTTTTTATTTTAAAAAAGTCAAATCCTCATTGAAAGATAAAACCCGGCAATATAAGTATTACTTCTTTTACCTGGTTGCTATTTGTCTAGAGCTTCTGTTTCTCGTGAATATGTTTCTTGCAATATGCAAGATGTCTTCACCTCTCTCTTTGGGCTGAATCTTATTAATCTTGGAATTGTGTGAATCCCGGAGGCCTGGCATCCCACTGCCTGTAGCAGGCTACAACGTGCTTCCTCTTCTGTGGCATGGGAATGGTCAACTCAAAGGGCCTTCATTGTTGTCGTTATCATCATCATCTTTGTTATTCTGTTGCACTCTTGTCTGCCATTTAGGAGAATCCTCAGATTTCTGTGTATTTAGCTAGATTTTGTATTTCTAGGTCATGGTCAGCCCCCATAAATAAACAGGAAATTTCACTAGCACTGCACTCTGAAAACCTTAAACACTGAAGTCAGGTCTCAGGTGATGGTTCAACCAAAGCTCTTTGCAGCACAGGTGAGTCGTGCACCTGTTTTTCTTCCTCTTCTCACTAATGCTGTGGAACGTTGCCTTTGGGAAATCCGATCTGACTTAGCTCATGCAAACATCTCCCATGGGTATTAATTTGCTGACTTGATTAGTCATAAAGAATTGACCCTTGACAAAGGCAAGACTTGCTTGGGTTAAACAGTAGACAGAACTTGAAATTTTAGAAACATGGGAAAGACAGACTTCCTCATATACTGCCTAGAATCCTGCTGAGATGAAGAAATAAGGTATCTCATCACAAGTGGACTAGTGGCTTAGGGCCGAAGCTGATGCTGCTGTGCAGCTCTGAGCATTCCCTCTGAACTCGTGCAGTTTATGCTCAGACCACACCTTCTCATCTCCCGCCTGGGAAAATCCAGTTGGCTGTTACAAATGGAATGGCTGTTAAGCTCAGAGTCGTAGTATCTAATATTGAATGACCTTGTGGGATCTATTATATATAAATATGACTTGTCATTTGTTTACCTTTGCACAGCTTTGCACAGTTTTTGTAAAATATCTTTTGGCTTTTGATCATCATCAACTTTTTTTTAATCCTCACCTGAGGATATTTTTCCATTTATCATCAGATAGAGTGGTGGGGGGGAGAGAAAGAGAGAGATAGAGAGGGAGAGGGAGAGGGAGGAGAGAGGGGGAGAGAGAGAGAAACATCTGTGTGAGAGAGACACATCGACTGGTTGCCTCCCACACAACACGACCAGGGTTAGGGATGAACTGCAACCAAGGTAGGTGCCCTTGACTGGAATGGACCTTGTGACTCATTGGTCCACGGACTGGCGCTCTAACCGTTGAGCCAAACTGGCCAGGGCTGATCATCAATTTTTTTGTGGTAAAATATGCTTAATGTAAAGTTTACTCTTTTATCTCTTTTTTAGTTGTTTTTTTTTTTGTTAATTCTCACTCAAGGATATTTAGAGAGTATGGAAAGGAGAGAGGGAGGGAGGGAGGGAGGGAGAGAGGGGGAGAGAGAGAGAGAGAGAGAGAGAGAGAAATATTGATATAAGAGAGAGGCTCATCAATTGGCTTTCTTCTGCATGACCCTGATCAGGGCTGGGGATCGAGCCTGCAACCCAGATACATGCCCTTGACCAGGAATTGAATCCTTGACCCTACAGTCCATGGGCTGATGCTCTAACTGCTGAGCCAAACTGGCCAGGGTTGTTTTATCTCTTTTTAAGTGTGCCACCATTCAGTGGCATTGACAACATTCATGTTGTTGTAAAACCGTTACCACTATTCAACTTTTTCGTCTTCCCAAACTGAAACTCGGTATCTATCAAACACTAACTCCCTAACCCCTTCTCCACAGGCGTAAGCATTCTACTTCCTGTCTTTATGAATGTGCCTACCCCAGGTACTTAATGTAAGTGGAATTGTGCATTATTTGTTATTTTGTATCTGGCTTATGTCACGTAGCCTAATATCTTCAAGCTCCATCCATGTTGTAGCATGTGTTGGAATTTAACTCCTTTTTACTGGGTAATAGTCCCTTGTAGGCATAGACCACATGTTGCTCATCCACTCCTCTGCCAGTGGACACTTGGGTTGTTTCCACCTTTTGGCTATTGTGAATGCTGCTGCCGTGAACATGAGTGTACCAGTGTCTTTCCACGTCCATGGTTTCCGTCCTTTTGGGTACACCCCCAGCAGTGGAATTGTTGGACTGTTCGGTATTATTTTGTTTGATTTTTTTGAGGAACTGCCATGCTGTCCTCCACAGTGGTGACGTCATTGTACGTTGCCACTTGGTCATTGATTTTTCTGTCGAAGTTGAGGACTAACTGAAGTGAAGTTCTGATGAAGTGTGACTTTTTGTTTGGATCAGTGGTTCCAGTGGTGGTCTTTTGAAACAGCTCATGGTAGTCTGTTCAGGTTCCTCAAATCTTTTTTTTTTTTTACCCTCAGATAGAGCTGGAGGGAGAGAGGGAGGAAGAGAGAGAGAAACATCGATGCGAGAGAGACACATCAAGTGGTTGCCACCCACATGACCCCAACCAGGCAGGGACAAACTGCAACCGAGGTACATGCCCTTAGTGGGAACTGAACCTGGGCCTCTCTGGTACACAGGCCGACGATCTAACTGCTGAGCCAAACCAGCCAGGGCGAGGTTCCTCAAATCTTTAGGGCATTTTCTAGAATATTTTACCGGATAAAGGGATTGTGCAACAGGTTTTTTGTTTTTTTTAGATAAAGACAACATATTGATACGAAGACAACAAATTCCTCACACAGTAGTGAGTTGAACATTATGCTTGCTCATTTTATCTATTTATTTATTTTTAAATCCTCACCTGAGGATACTTTTTTCCCATTCATGTTTAGATAGAGTGGGAGGGAGGGTGAGAGCGAGCAACATCGACAAGAGAGGGACACATTGACTGGCTGCCTTCCACATGACCCCAACCTGGGGTGGGGACCTATCTGCAACCAGGTATGTGCCCTTGACTGGAATTGAACCCAAGACTCTTTGATCTGAGGGCTAGTGCTCTAACCACTTAGCACCAGCCAGGGCAGTATACTTGCTCATTTTAAAAAGTCAGCACCGGGCACTGGTGACATTGCAAGCATGGGTTGCCGTCACCTCTGCAGTGGGAGCAGTGGCTTACTTCCTGTCTTTGTTCTTGGCTGTGCACAGAAGGAGGAGGACATGTCCAGCTTCACATCTCAAAGGGCTACTTCCCTGCTCGGAGCACAGGAGGTGGGGCCAGGCGGGGGGAAGATAGTAGCTTGGGCAAGGTGAGCCGGGATTGGAGAGAGCTGGCAGTCTCCATCCCTGTCCCTAGTGGGAATAGATCCTCATCTACCAGCCCTGACCTTGGCGTTGGGCCTGGGTGGAAGTTAGCCTGAGTGTTACAGGTCTCTTAGACCTAGGGCAGGCAGGACATCAGTCTCAGTAATCAGGGTGGTTTTGTCATATTTCACAGAGATTTTTTTGCATTATAAAATGCATACAGTACGGCCCGGCCGGTGTGGCTCAGTGGTTGAGCATCGACTGCTACACTAGGAGGTCGCTGGTTCAATTCCTGGTCAGGGCACATGCTCAGGTTGCAGGCCCAGTGGGGGAAGTGCAGGAGGCAGCTGATTGATGTTCTCTCTCATAGATACTTCTATCTCTCTCCTTCTCTCTCTCTCTCAAATCAATAAAGAGAAATGTTTTTAAAAATGCATACAGTGCAGAGACTTCTATAGATCAGTGTTCTATTTAGAGAAGTGTTTTTACTCACCTTAGGTAAGTGTATTTAAAATTTTGTAAGTGATGTACAGACTGTTAGGGTTTGGCCGGTGACGTGAGCTGTGAAAGAATTCACAGAGAAGAAGAGATGCAGCGGGGACACTGATTTCACTTTCCAAGGGGGGAACGGGCTGTGTGCTCACA